AAGAATTTGGTTAAGCTAGTGCGGAGATTGCTTGACGAATTTTCCACACACGTGGTGGGGGTTTGTCATGTGATACCTCGTGGTGATTCCTTCCAGAGTGCTGACAGTTTCAATGAGTCAGCCCATATTTTCAATTGTTTGTCGAAGCCTGCCTTAGAGTCTATTCCTAATGTTTTTTGTTGGACACACAGGGGTTTTTCTAACACTTCTATTAATTTATACTTGGCTGATGGCGTTCATGTTAATGCCCAGGGTCAGCACTCACTATATAGAAGTTATAGGGGAGCAATTTTGATGGCCCTTCGCATGCTTAAATAATTTTAATTTATAATTACTTCATCTGTTATCGTCTACCGACTTTGTTCTAAATTTTGATATTTTTCAATCAATAATATATCATAATTCGTTATTTGAGTAAGAGAGAATTAAGCTATGTGTCCTTAAGCACTTCATGAATTTGCTATATAATACTAAATGTTCCACCTTGTTGGGAGAAGTTATGTATCCCAGGTGTTTAAGTTATTGCTAATTGTATGGCAGTGTAGGCCTTGTTTTGCGGCGACAACTTGTCAGCCATACTTGGCCTGCCGTATCATGTATGTTTATACCATCTTGTTGGGAGAAGTTATGTATCCCAGATGGTGATGTTATCACTGTGTTTGGGAGAAGTTATGTATCCCAGATGGTGATGTTATCACTGTGTTTGGGAGAAGTTATGTATCCCGAGTGATTCGTTTATCACCGGTTCATTTATATTTATACCACTGTGTTTGGGAGAAGATATGTATCCCAGGTGGTTAGGTAATCACCGGTTCATGTATATTTATACCACCGTGTTTGGGAGAAGTTGGCATCCCAGGTGTTTAAATTATCACTGGTTCATATGTGGTTCCACCATCGTGTTTGGGAGAAGTTATGTATCCCCAGATGGAAAAAAAATCTTATTTTCTCATATTTTCATTTATATTTCTATGCCATACTAGGGGTATATTTCTTCTGGCAACTATGCTGCCTTTCTGTTATTATTTGTATTCCAGTATGAGACGTTCATCCCGTCAAAAATGGCCAACAAGAAAGGCTGCAGGTGAAACGACCCCAGATAGAGGGGAGCCGCCACGCCGTAGACAGCGTCGTGATCCTGAACCTGCACCAGTACAACAGGAGATTCCTGCAGCTCCAAATGGCCTCCTGATGGTATGCTTGAGAGGATCGTGGCAACTGCGACCGAGCAAGTGACGCAACGCCTAGCTCCATTACTGCAGCAAGTACCAGTCGTCCAGCCGGTGCCTGCCATCCAGCCAGCGCCAGTCATCCAGCCAGTGCCAGTAGTCCAGCCAGTGCCAGTCGTACAGCCAGTGCCAGTCATCCAGCCAGTGCCAGTAGAGCAATCCGCCATACCAGCACAAGTTGCTCAACCACCAGTCTTGACAGCAATGCAGCCAACCAGTCTTGCAGGTATGCCATTACAGCAGCCAGGTTCACCACTGCCTGGATTAATTGGCCAACCAGAGACCACATCCTTGGTCCAAAGTGGCATCCAAGGTGCTCACGCAGTTATCGCAGGTGAGAGTTTGCCTTCAACTGGGAGCACCCCTGGTTTATTATTCAGGTCTTCCAGTCTCCCTCTCGATGCCCGTGTTTCAGACAAATTGAAATAAAAAATTTGGAACGATGAATACATCGAGCTCAGCTCTTTATTGTCCGGTTCTGCTGCTGAAGAGCGTTTCAAAATCAGTGTCTCATCCTCCAATAAAGATGCTCCGTCTTTATTCTTGTAGCCAATTGAAAAAACCCATAAGATTAATTCGTATAAGACATGGTTGCAGGCTTTTCATATCTTGATAGGGGTTTACACCAGCAAATATCCTTCTGAGGCCCCTGCCCTCATGAAGTATGGTGATATTGTTAGAGACCTGGCATCTAGGGGACACAATTGGTTTTTTTATGACGAGATTTTCCGTTTTCTGAAACAAAGCCATAAGCAGTTGTTACAATGGGGCGAAATTCAATGAGAACTATGGCTTCGTTCCCAGCCTGTTCAACACAAGAAATCACATTCCTTTTCTAATAATCGGGGCACTCGTCTAATTCTAATAACATATCTCGACATGTCCCTCGCGGTTATTGTTTTAGGTACCATAAAGGGGGTGACTGTGATGGATGTGATCACAAACATTCCTGTTTTAAGTGTGAAGGGAATCATAGAGGATTCCAATGTAATTTTCGTCCCCAAAGTAATTTTCGCCCATTCCAGCGACATACCAAAGTGTCCCCAGCTGCCAGTGCCTCCGCTACCAACCCCAATAAGATATGATAGGTTTGCCGTTTTCCTAGATGATTATCCACTTGACAAATTTAATTATTTAATGTCTGGGTTCAAGTTTGTGTTTTCTTTACACTTTGAAGGACTTAAACAGTCCTTTGAGGCTAATAATTTATCATCATGCATCGAACATGCAGATGTTGTTGACAAAAAGTTAACTAAAGAGTTGGATGCCCATAGGCTGGCTGGTCCTTTTTCTGCACCACCATTCTCCAATTTTCGGATTTCCCCTTTAGGGGTTGTACCTAAAAAGACTCCTGGCGAATTTCGTTTAATTCACCACCTTTCTTTTCCAAAAGGTACGTCTGTTAATGACGGTATTTCATCAGAACACACAACTGTTAGTTATGCTACTATTGCTCAGGCTATACATTTAATTAAGAAGGCAGGTCCTGGCTGTTTCCTTGCCAAGACAGACATTCGCAATGCATTTCGTCTCATTCCCATATGCCCAGAGGATTATGAGCTTCTTGGAATAAAATGGAAAGGTGTATACTATTATGACCGGTGTATGCCTATGGGTTGTTCTAGTTCTTGCAAAACCTTTGAGGCTTTTAGCACAGCTGTTGAATGGATTGCCAGGGAAAATTGCTGATAGATTGGATCCTTCATCTGTTGGATGATTTTTTAATTGTGGCATCCCTTCATCAGCTCTGTAAGAAGCAGCTTGAACTGTTTCTTAAAGCATGTGATTATTTGGGTATCCCCATGGCACCAGATAAAACAGTTGGCCCATTTACCACTCTTTCATTTGCAGGCATCGAGCTTGACACCATTAAAATGGAAGCTACCCTACCCTTGGATAAATTAGAGAAAGCTACTAATTTAATTTCAGAATTCTTGCGGCGCAAAAAGGTTACACTTAAGGAGGTGCAATCACTTTGTGTGTTGCTCAATTTTGCATGTGCTGTATTTTCAACGGGTCGAGCGTTTCTACGACGTCTCATTGACCTTACAATAGGCTTGCGTGCTCCACACCATTTCGTTCGCCTGAATAGGGAAGTTAAAGCAGATCTTGATGTCCGGCAAAAATTTTTAGTGGAATTTAATAGGAAAAGTTTTTTCTTAGACGATAATTGGAATACTTCAACCCAGTTAAATCTTTATACAGATGCAGCTGGTAGCTTGGGTTTTGGGGCTATTTTTGGCAATCACTGGTGCTATGGGGCATGGCCTAACAATTGGTTAACCTACAATATTGCGGTATTGGAATTCTATCCCATTGTGCTAAGTCTCTACCTTTGGGGTCAACATATGGAAAATCAGTCCATTTTATTTTTCACTGACAACGAAGCTCTGGTTTCAGTTATTAACAAACAAACCTGCCGGGATAAGACCCTAATGTTTTTTGTCCGGAAGATGGTCCTTATATGTTTACAGCGCAACATTTTATTCAAGGCTAAACACATTCCAGGCGTCCAAAATAAATTAGCTGACTCATTGTCTCGGTTACAGGTCCACATTTTCCGTCAACTCGTTCCACTGCAGATGGACCCTCAACCAACCGTGATCCCACAACATTTGTTGCCTCAGAACTGGCAAATGTAGTGACGGTGCTCATCACTTCCAGTTTACAACCTTCTTCAAAACCCACTTATCACAGAGCATGGAAATTGTTCGAGCTTTTCCACCACTCCGTTTTTCAATCTGCACGGTTTAACTTTCCCATATGTCCAGGTACACTGGCTTTATTTATCGCATATTTGTTCAACCAAAATTATGCGCCATCAACAGTTAATACTTATGTGTCTGCATTGGGCTATTCTCACAGGTTATATGGTGTCCCAGACCCTACAAAATTTTTTTATATTATACAAATGCTGAAGGGGTATGGGAAGTTGGGACATCGACTGGATGTTCGGCTTCCCATAACCCTGCCCATTCTTCACACACTTATTAGTGTCACTGGGGTAGTTTTACCAACTTCTTATGAAGTAAGCCTATTTCGAGCTATTTGCGTCTTGGCATTTTTTGGATTTCTAAGAATTGGGGAAATTACCTCGTCTAAGCCTAGCCTCCCCATGCCATTGCAGATAAATCAATTATCCAAGCAATTCAGTACAAAAGGTCAAATAACACACCTCACCCTAACTTTTTATCAATATAAACATAGCTATAATCAACGACCTTTCTCAATCGATATTCTACCCCAACAGATGCATTGTCCTGTTGTTAAGTTGGTGCTTCATTATTTATCCTTGCGAGGTACGCGCCCAGGGGCTCTGTTTTTAGATAATATTGGCCGTCCTATAACGCGCGATTGTTTCTCCAATTATTTGGCTCTGACGATAAAGCATTGCGGTCTTGACCCGGCAAGGTATAAAGGACACAGTTTTCGTATCGGTGCTGCCTCGTACGCAGCTAAACATGGTATGTCTGATGCCCAAATTCGGACACTCGGCAGATGGAAATCCAATGCCTTTCAAAAATACATACGTATTTCTCATTTTTCCACATAAGTATTAATTTGTTTAATTTACACATGCGGGGCAGTGTAACACTGATGTCTTTGACCCAATTGCAACATCTTGCACGGGCGGATGTTGTGATTGGCTCGAGATTTCTCATATTCAGCTAGCATGGGCAGCAGTTTGTTATTACTTTATCTCATAGAATTGATCCAATTGCGACATCTCGCACGGGCAGATGTTGTGATTGGACCAATGATTTATGACCAATGACCAAGGCACTGTGTGTTACCTGGCAAACAAAGAGTCAGAATGTTTATTTTGAGGGCGAAAACGGCGAGGAAGTGACCAAACAGATAATTTCGCACTTAAACCAAGGCGTGCACGCTTCGTTGAAAGCTTCGTTGAAAGCTTCGAACTTGGCGGGAGTTGAAGTGTTAGATTTGCAGGACTCTCGCTCTATCAGCTTGTCCGACAACGACACAACAAATGGAAGTTTTCAGGCCTGTGAAGAAAGCGTTTCATGCGATGAAGAGAGTGTGATTCAAAATGTCATTAAACGTTTGGATTCATTAACGCGCCAATTCGAAAACCACCGAACTGAGACGTCTGTTGTTCTAAACGAACTTGTTAATATATATGAGAATCAAAAAAGTCAGACGGCAACTGAAAATCTTACTAAAGAAAATAGATTATTGAAAGAAGAAAACAAGGCTCTTCAAACAAGCTAACAAAATATAAAGATACTTTAACCGAACTAAATACAAAGCTGACGGATACTGAAAGTGAGAAATCAAGCCTCTTAACTGTTATTAGGTTGCTGAATGAAGAGCAAGCCACTGTAATGTGTTCAAATAAGGATGAATCTAGTCAAGCGCAACAAGCACGGAGCTCATGGCAAATAACTGGCCGCAAAACCATAAGTCAAAGTGCTGGTTACCATATAAATTTGAGCAATAAGTACTCTACCTTGCAAATTGAAGACGACGATGAGGCAGTAATGAGCGGTGACGCTGGAAATAATCAAACCTTAGTTCCCAAGAAGACTCCAACTATAGAGCACGAAAAGAAAAGACGATTGAAAAACACCCCAAGAAATATCCAAGACACAAAGCAAAATTCCTTACCATTCAGCAACCAACGTGACACTATCCAACCGAAGAAACAACAATGTGATGTAGCTTTGGTGGGTGACTCCATGATTAAGCATGTTGATGTCCGAAAACTTCGTCATGGCACAAACAAACAGGTAACTGTTCGTACTTTTTCTGGGTGTAGAACCGACGAAATGGCTCACTATATAAAGCCGACACTTGCTTTAAAACCGAAGCAAGTTATTATTCATGTTGGGACGAATGATCTCAAAACGAAATCACGGGCTGAAATTATTTACAACTTAAAAAACCTGGGCAATCAGGCAAAACAAGAAAACCCCCGCACTGGTGTCTCACTCTCACAGATAATAATTAGAAGTGATGACACAAGATTACAAAATAAATTAGTTGAAGTCAACAAATGCATACAAGATCTTTGCGAACAAGAGAACTGGGGTCTTATTGACAACAGTAATATCAGTAATATGCATTTGAATCCGTATGGACTACACTTAAACAAACGTGGCTCTGCTATATTAGCAAAAAATATCAAATTGCATATAACTAACAATATAGATAACTATTGACTGGACTTGACGAATTGCAAACCACCGCCTATCAACAGTTCCAATTTACCAAAGCAAAATAATAACAAAGTTATTTATCCGAAACTAAAGGGATTAAAATTTGCCCATGTGAATATAACTAGCCTTCCAAAACATTTAGACGAATTAAAATTATTTCTCCAACAACTACCATTTGAAATATTAAGTTTAAATGAAACGAGATTAGATGAGACAATTCAAAATAACATGGTTCAGATTCCAGGTTATGAGATAATTAGACGAGATAGGAATAGAAGAGGCGGAGGGGTTGCTTTTCTTGTCAAGAATAACTATTCGTACACTCTACGAGACGATCTAATTCCAAAAGATCTTGAAGCAATCTGTATTGAATTCACGCTACGTATGAGTCGGCCAATTTTGATTTTGACTTGGTATCGACCTCCTGATTCGAATGCAAAAGTATTCGATTTGTTTGAAGAATTTCTGCAAAAGGCCGAGTCAGAACGTAAGGAATTGATTATTCTAGGCGATTTGAATTGCGATTTGTATACAAATGCGGCAAGTTCAAGTACAAAAAAATTAATTGAATTATTGGATGTTTATCAGTTAAAACAACTCATTAAGAAACCTACACGTGTAACAGCTAAAACAAGAACATTGATAGATGTTATTGTAACTCAATTGGGAAATACGAATGTTACTGCTTCTGGAGTCATACACCTTGGAATTAGCGACCATAGTCTGGTGTATATTTGTCGCAAAATTAGTACCCAAAGGGAAAAACCAAAAATTGTTGAAACTAGGCAATTTAAACATTTTAACAGTCGAGCATTTGAAAATGACTTAAATCAAGCTTTTGCTGCTAATGATGTTTATCATCTTGATGACCCAAATGAGATTTGGAATGTATGGAAAACTATATTTCTATCTTTAGCTAATAAGCATGCACCTCTAAGACAAAGGAAAGTTAGAAGCACTTATAACCCTTGGATAACTACGGAGATTAAGTACCTTGGTCACCGCAGAGATTTCCTAAAAAAGAAAGCGGTCACGCATAACTCAATCTATTATTTTAATGCGTATAAACAATGTAGGAACAATTTGAATAAAACAATGAAGGAAACCAAAAGCAATTATTATAAAAGTAAACTAAATGCATGCAAGGACCACAAAGAGAATTGGAAATTGATAAATGAATTGCTAAACAATGCATCAAAAACTACTATAATTAATGAATTGGTTGTTGACGAAGGAAAAATAGTAGATGAGAATATTGCAGAAGAATTTAACAGCTTCTTCTCGCGCATAGGTACACGTTTAGCTGAAAATATAGACGCAAGTGATGTCGATCCACTGTCTTTCGTAACATCTGCACCACACAACTTCGATTTTCAAACTATATCCCATGATAAAGTTAGGGAGGAAATTAAGCAAATGAAAACTGCTAAATCGTCGGGCTATGACAAAGTTTCTGTGAAACTATTGCAGGCCGCTGGGGGTGCAATCGTTGTGCCACTAACGTATATATTTAACCAATCTTTTAAGACTGGAATTTTTCCAGATGACTGGAAAATTGCTAAAGTAACACCTATCCACAAATCAGAAGAAAAAACCCTATGCGGTAATTATAGGCCGATTTCTGTCATTTCTATAGTTCCCAAAGTATTTGAGAAAGTTGTACATGAACAATTAATGAAATATTTGGAACACCACCAAATAATTTCCAAATTTCAGTCTGGATTTCGTGTAAATCATTCAACTGAAACATCATTACTACATGTAACTAATAGCTGGTTAGCAAACATGGACGCTGGTTTGATTAATGGTGTCCTATTTTTGGACCTTAAAAAGGCCTTTGACACGGTAAACCATAGAATTCTATTATCCAAATTGGGATGTTATGGAATTCGTGGATTAGCACTGTCATGGTTTCAATCATATCTTAGTAACAGGAAACAAATTTGCAAAGTAAATAACTCGCTATCAACCTTCCAAAATATTACATGCGGCATCCCACAAGGATCTAACCTTGGACCACTTCTGTTTACAATTTATATAAATGATCTGCCAAATAGTTTAGAAATAACTGAACCCGCCATGTTTGCTGATGATACAAGCTTAACTGCAACTGGGGAGTCTTCTTTTGAAATTGAACA